CTGACCTACTGAAAGATTACCTCAGTTGGGGCACAGAGGAGAATGTCATCTACATATTGTAAAACTTTAACTTGAGTATAAAGGAAATGAGAGATCTTTGGACAATATCTTTACAAACAGGTGGGGGCTGTCTCAGAATCCCTGAGGTAACACCATCTAGGTTAGCTGAGTGATCTGGTAGGAAGGATCCTTGAAACCTGTTGGTTCTCATTTTCTCTTGTCAGTTACCATGTATGATGCACCTTTCACCTTCCACCATATTGTGAGTGTACCTTTCACCTTCCAAGCCATGTAGAACTGTGAGTACATTAAACCTCTTTTTATTTATAAATTACCCAGTCTCAGATATGTTCTTATCAGCATTATGAAAACAGACAAATACAGTAAATTGATATCAGTAGAGTTGGGTGCTGCTGTAAAGATATTTGAATATGTGAAATTGACTTTGAAACTGGGTAGCAGGCAGACATTGGAAGAGTTTGGAAGACTCAGAAGAGAACAAGAAAATGTAGGAAATATTGGGACTTCCTAGAGACTTGTTGAATGGTTTTGACCAAAAATTGACATTACTATTATCTAGAATGCAGACTTTATTCAATTTTCACCATTTTAAAAACCTGCACTCATTTGTGTGTGTGTGTTTGTGTAATACTATTTTCACTCTTTAATCAGCAGACTTATATAATTGGAGGTAGTATTTAAGATTATTTGGCGTCAGTAGTTAGACAAAACTGGAAGTAGTAAGAGCAAATGAAAAATTCTCACAGTAGTACAGAAGAGGAACAGTCACAACCTGGGATGGATGGTGCCCAGCACACACTGGATGCTGCAAAAATACTTAGTGAGTAAGAATTTCTGTCTTCAAACTTCATGTTTTTCATATACAAAGGAAAAAAGACTATCCATTTTTAATTTTACAATGTGTATACACTAACAACAGTTAAAAGAATAAGACATAGTCAGAACCCAGTGAAATTCTCAGCTTGGACTACAGAACTATGTTCTGCCGAAGCCCAATGGAAGGAGATTGGCAAAACAAGAAAATTCTTAATCTGAATGAAGTAAGCTACACAGTTCGTAAGGTCAGATTCAGACTCCAGGGCATACACTGGCAATTAGAGCACTATTGGGAGAAAATTGAAAAGGCATATGCTTCTTGTCCTCACTGCTAGTAGACAGGTTATTATTGTCTCTACTTAGCTAGCTTGCTCATTGCTAGTTAAAATATCAAAAACAAAAATCTGCTTTTTAAATTCAAATCCTTTCAAAAATTTCAGTGTCCTGGGAGAAAGTTCAGATTTTTTTTAGTATTTTTAAAATTAAAATAAATACTAAGAAAAAAATTCTAAGACAGCAGTTCTCTTCTTTTATCCAATAAAATGATTGCATAACTTTATTCCCTGTATGTCTCAAAATCTCTTATAAAGGTCAATATTTGCTGGGTAGACAAACTTGGAATTGCAGAACTTAGATATGTGATTCGCTGGCTGAAGGATTATGGAGCAAGGTTTTTAAACATTTTCTAAAACTTGATAACCTCATCAGTTATATAAGAGTGTTGCAGTCAACAGGCCCCTCTCATTCTAATACTCTCAAAATAAATCTGCTTAATTCCCAAATACCTTTTTATCACTGTTCCTCTCTTTTATTTAGCATCAGGACAGTGACCGTCACACAGTAAGTATTCAGTGCAGGTTTTCTGAATGTATTTTTTGTAGAATTTTAATTCCAGAAGGTTTCATGGATTTTAAGTAGTTTTTAGATTTTAATGCAGTAAAATTGTTTAAGCATATACTCTTTTAACCTTGCCTTTTATCCTTTATATTTTATATGTTGTAAAAACATGTAAGTCACTTAATCTCTTTTGGAATCAGTGGTTTTATATGTAAATGTGGAAACTGAACTTCTAAAATTGCTTCTATTTTTTTAAAGAATAACATTAATTAGTAGAAAACTTATGTGCATCTCATGTAGCAGTATTTCACATCAAATTCCTCAGTTTCTTCTTATATAAGTTGCAAATATGCTTTTTATCAAATTTATAAAATAATATATTAAAACTAAATTTGTCATAATTTAATCAAATTACTTATACTAAATGTAAATGTAATGAACCAAAAACAAGAGCTAACAGTGAGTCTAACAAGTTACAAGCATTGAGGTATCATTATTATGCCAATTTTATAGAATAGAAATCAAAGACCATAAAAGTTAAGTAACCTACCCAAGGTGATATATGCAGTAGAAGAGGCAGTCAGGATTTGAACATGGGTAGCTGGGTTCCAGAGCTGTGTGTTTAACCAATAATTCATACAGTGTGTCATTCTATATCACTTCCAAGATGGAAAAAAGCCCTGAACCATATTTTTTGAGTGAGGGAACAAGAAAATGTTTAAACATTGCTTGCTACAGTAGCTTGAGGTCTGACATTTTATGGACAGAGTCTCTGATGACTGCCTGTAGAATCTCTACCTTGTGCTCTAAATGCGCTTGGGGACAGTTCAACCATGGGATGTAGATAATCATAAGTCTCTTTTCAATAGATACAAAATTTTTCAAATATTATATGATCGACATATATTTGCTATTTAGGAAATTAGATTTCTGCAGAGAGTATAGAGGAAAATAATTTATATATGAACAAGTCTTCTAGAAAACGCTGACATAAATTTCATAATTTTTCAGGTATTGCCTATCCTCACAATATGAGTATATAAAATGAACAGATTACATTTCATTTATGCTACAGAGTCATTATATGATTTCTAAAACCAAGTCAGTCCTCAGATATTAGTATAAACAATCCCAGTTTTTTATTTAATAAAGCAGTTCTTCTTTGGGGTCTCATTTTTTTTGTCTTTCCTCAAATAATAACTATACTGTATTGGCAACTTTATTCTCATTATGTGTAGTTGTACAATACTGAATAGATTGCCTTGAATTTTAATTATAAACACTTGAAATATCCCACTTCATCAGATAGTTTAATTGGAAAACAAAAGTGTTTTATAAAGCTTTTGAGTGAACAAAACAGAGCAAAATAAGTGTCATTACACTCCAACCTTTTCCTTCCAAGAATATTCGATTCCAGATGTCTTACACAGAGACATGATTACTTAGGCCCTTAGTGGATGTTACACCAAGAAGCTTGAGAGACTAGTTAAATAGTGTAACTGAACTTCTTGCTCTCTTTAGCCTCTAATGTATCTAATTAAATTCTTTACAAACCTAATCTGACCATTATTGAACATTTCATGGGGATAATGTTTCATGAAACTCTGTGAATATTCACATCAGTACACTTTAAAGGAAGCTAGACATTAGAATCACATAGTGAATTTTTGAAGCATATCCCTGACAAGAACAATCCAATCTGAATCTTTGGAGGGTGCGAGCCTGCAGTATCAGGAAGCTATAATGGGTCCCTAAGAATGCTTGTGTTCTGATTCCTGAAACCTGTGACTATGTCACATGGCAAAGGGAAATTATGGTTACTAATCAGCTGATCACAAAATTGAAAGATTATTCTGAGACATCCACATGGGCCCAATGTAATGACAAAAGTCTTTAAAAGTAGTAGAGGAAGCAGAAGAGTCTGTGTTAGAGTGATGCATGTGAGAAAGACTCCACCAGCCATTGCTGGCTTTGAAGCTGGAAGAAGAGGCCACCAGCCAAGGCATGCAGGTGGCATCTGGAAGCCACAAAGGCAAGAAAATAGATTATCCCCTAGAACTTCTGCAAAGGAACATAGCCCTGCTAACATCTTAATGCTGGTTAAAGAGACTCATTTTGGACTTCTGAGCTCCAGAGCTATAAAATAATAAATGTGTTGTTTTGAGCTATTAGATTTGTGGTAAATTGTTACAGTAAAAATAGGAAATGAATACAGGGTCCAAGCTTTAGTTATTTTTAAGAGGTACCAGGAAATTCTAACATGCAGCCAGATTAAGAACTTCTATGTCTGATGAATGGCTGCTTCTTGGAATCCCATAAGAAGTTTTTAATATATCTTGCATCTACCACCAGGGATCCAAATTCACTTTCCAAGTATCAACTTGTTTAATCCCCATAACAACTTTATAAGGATAGAAATCATTATCTGAAGTACACTTTTATTTATTTATTTATTTAAGACAGAATTTCACTATTATTGCCCAGGCTAGAGGGCAATAGTGCAATCTCAGCTTACTGCAAACTCCAGGAGGGTTCAAATGATTCTACTGCCTCAGCCTACCAAGTAGCTAAGATTACAGGCATGCACCACCATGCCCAACTAATTTTGTATTTTTAGTAGAGACAGGGTTTCTCCATGTTGGTCAGGCTGATCTTGAACTCTCTACCTCAGGTGATACACCTGCCTCGGCCTCCCAAAGTGCTGGGATTACAGGAGTGAGCCATGCATCTGGCCCAGAAGCACAATTTTCTTAAGAAAGTTGTCCAATGTCATCCAGCTACTAAGTTATAAGCTTTAACCATGCACAGGCTGGCTCCAATAACTGCAATCATATTGACTTAAATGCTTGTGGAGAGCCTGTTTAGTTTCATTTTTAAACATCATTACAATTACTGGTTATTTTCTGAGTTCCCTTTTCACAAGAAAAGCAGGAAATTAGAAATGAAAGGTGCCAGTAGAAATAAAAACATTGATGGTAGTATACTTATGATTGGGAAACTGATTCTGGGGATAAGAATTAAAAATATAATATCCTTCCATGTTCAAAAATCATGGAAGGATATTTCCATGATTTATCTGAGGACTTTGTGGGAGTTGTGGATGTTACCAAATGCAGCAATGTTTAATGCTATTGGGAGTACTGGTTTATTTGAATAGAGTTGAATTAATCTTAATAACTCTGATTTATCAAGAAAAATTTTTGTTTTGTAGACAACTCATGAGAGGGGGTATATATTTATAATTTCTTAATAGTAATTTATGTGAGTAAAAATTAATACTCCTGAGAGAAAGAATCATCATTGCCTGGGTATTTTAATAGATGGGCCATGAATTTTCAAAACAATTCAATAAAATATATTATGTTATGTGCATATGTTATGTTCCGTATGGAAAACCTCCCTGTTTGCATATCAGTCTTATTCCATTTTCTTTTATAAATAAAAGGTCATTCTAAACCAACTAAAATGTCAACACTCTTTGACATTTTGGTGACATAGTTAGGAGAGTCACAAAGATGCCAAAACAAATCTATAAAATCCAGTAGATTTATTTATGAAAGATTCAGATTTTAAGAGTTAGGAAGACAAACAGCAAAACCAAATTCCCTTGTGTTCAAGTACTTGCTATTTTGTTCACCCACATTAAAGACTATAATCCCAGTATATGTTAGATCTTTTGAATTTCCAGCCTTCCATTTCCTTGGGTGTCATAATCAAAAGAACACTGAACTGTTCTAAACACAAAACACTAGCTAGTTGTATGACACTGAGTATAAGCCATAAAACCATAGCAATTTCTCCTGATCTGTAAAATGCATGTTGCACCTACTTCTTCTATCCCACAGGATTATGAAAAATCAAATGACAATGTTTGAGAAAGTTTTTGAAAATAGTAAAGCACCATGTAAATAGTAATTCCATGTAATAATGTGGATTCTAAGAGTCACTTATCCCTTGCTGGCATAACAAATTGCCCCAAAATTTAGTGACTTAAAACAATTTATTTAATGTTTCTTAGGTCAGCAATTTGAGCATAGTTTAAATCCTCTGCTTCAGAGTCCCTCACAGGCTGCAGTCAATATGTCTGCTGTGGCTATCATCATACCAATGCTCAACTGGAGAAAGTTCTGCTTCCTAGATTATTCACATTGTTCTTGTCAGGATCCACTCCTTGCTGGTTGCTGGAATACAAGCCTCAATTTATTACTTGCTGTTGACTGAATGCAGTCTTCATTTTCTTGGTTCATGGCCTTTTCAGCATAGTAGTTTGCTTACATCATCAAAGTTTGCAAGCCAAGAAGGCAACAGAAAGAACACAGCAAGATACAAGTCATTCTTTTGTAATCTAACCATGGAAATGACATCTCATCACTTCTGCTTTATTCTAATTCACTAGAGGCAAGTTACTAGGGTCATCCCACAATGAAGGGGAGGTGACAACACACTGGTATAAATATCAGGAGGTGAGGATCATTGGGGGTCATCTTGATAGCTGCCTAACATATGGACCATTCCCTACATCCTACACATATCCTGGGCTTAGCTCCCTCTCAGTTGTCATCTCAGAATTTCCTTTTTTCTATAAATCCTCGCTCTAAGGCAGCTCAACCTTCAATGCACAATTCAATTAAGATCTCCTTTTGGAAATTTTCTTATGAATCCTTCAGTTAGATGGAATCTTCCCAATGTCTACATTCCCAATCATTTGGCACACATTTTATTTTAGTTCATATGTCACCTCATGCCTTTTGTTGTCGTGTTCATAGCCTTCAAACCTATTCATGGATCAGGGCCAGGAAGTCAGGAATGGGGCCTTACACCTCTCCATATTCTCCCATGGTATGAAGGACAATGTAGGCTACAAAATGAGCCATCTATGTAGTTATTGAATTGAATTGAGACAGTTTTTCATGCAAATATTAAAACGTTATAATCTCTGTTCTGCTAAAGGGCTTACTGGAAGACACTAAAAATGAATCAATAATTTCAGTGCTGAAATAGTCTTATTTTAGGGATTCCTGCCAGTATTTTTGTTTTTCAAAAGATGCCTATAGTCTGCTCTCTAAGGGTTTTATTCATCGAGAGGGTGAACCTGCAGAAAATAGTGGAATCATTTGACCTCAACAGTAAGGTACCAGATTTTCAGATGTTTATGCATATTAAGTGCATATTTCTGTTCCAGAAGTTTTTCTTGTGGCTTCACACTTCCTGTTACAATGTTCTAGAACAGGCTTAATTGAGGGTGAACTATCCTGTGAGTATAAAGTCTTAATGAGAAATTGCTCATTTATATTAACTTATTAAAAAGGTCCTATGATATGAGTGATTCTTTTTCAGCTATACAGTGTCAATGTATAAATAGACCTATACTCCCATGAAATCACTTAGATAATAGCCTGGATATAAAGGGTGTCCGGGGACCTATAAAATTAAATTTGCATGGTAGAAACTGAGCCAAGAATTTTTATAAGGTTGGGCCCAACATTCTTAGTATTCGAATATCTTACAAACTTATAGAAGATTAATTCATTTCAGTTCAAAAGATTTCAAATGTTCAATTGGGTTTTACTCAAGAACATTTATATGGTTGATAATTTGTTGAAACTGGCTCCCATGGGTTTTGGTTCAGACTTAGTCTACTTTTCCCTTTATTAAACTTTGTCCCCAAAAGGTCTGAGGAGAGTGTTTTTCAGGGAAGCTGACTATGAAGTTCTTTGCAAATTCCCCAACTCTACTTTCTACTCAACATTGCCATTTATCCTGAGGGGAATCTCAGAGGTCTAGACTAAACTTGGCTTCTCCTCAGGGCTCCTTCCCATCAGTATTCCCTGTATAGGAAATGGCCAACGTTCCAAGTTAAATTTTTGGCTAAGTAAATGGGACTTATTCCATTTGTTCAGTGGTCCATGTGCTTCAAAACATCATGGGGCTTCATTTGAGGTGTTGAGTGCCAGAAATAGATAGTTCACTGCATTTTATGCCTTAATGTGAGAGAGGTGGGAATTGCGAATTTATGGGAAAACTAAAATTGGGCAAAAAATGGGGAGATATTATTGGAATTTGAAAACTACCTCATTGATAGTTTTTATTATCTCATTGGGTAAGTTATTATTCTTTCATTCATTTGGCAAATAATTTTTTTAGCATTACTATGAGTCTAGAATTGTTTTAGTCAATAGGAACAAGCAGTGAACCAAAAGAAGTGTTCCTGCTCTCATGGGCCTCACATTTAGTCAGGGAATAGATAATGAATAAATAATTAAGTAGGCATACATTATGCCAACTGATAAGTTATCAGAAATGAAATATTGTAAAGCAGCAGAGAGTAACAGCTGGAGGTAGGGTGGGTGCTATTATAGATTAGACAGCATTTGAGCAGTGACCTGAAGAAAATGAGTGAGTTTATGAGTATTTGGGTAGGGGGAAGTCCTGAAGGGAGCAGAAAGTACTTAGATACTTAGATTCATATTTGAATATATGAGTCTAAAGATCAGGAGAGAGGTTCAGGCTAAAAGAATAAATATGGACATCCTCAGTATTTGGATTATTTAATGTCAAGAGACTGGTTGAAATCATTGAAGAAGCAAGTCAATAAAGGTAAAGGAAGTCTAAAGGCCCGAACTCTGGGGCATTTAACATTTAGAGATAAAGTAGTTACGGAAGGCTCCATGCAATAAGGGAAATGAGGCAATGTGTAGAAGATTTATTGAAACCCTAATATACATGAGGCACTGTGATAAGTCTGTGATTCAATGATGAATAAAACTGTTTCTGCCCCTGAGGATTTCATAGTTTACTGGTGCTTTAATGGAGTTATTTATATAGAGAGTTACATAGAATGTGCTCTAGGTGCAGGGAAGACAAAGCTGCTATCTCTGCCTCAATATCAAAAATATTTTAGAAAAGAGGTGATATTGGAGTGGAAGAGACACACAAGAGTGAGTTTTTCATGTAGAGCAGGGAGTGAAGGGCATTCTGGGAGCAAGAGGTTGCATGTACAAAAATGTCGAATTGGAACACATGAAGTGTTGGTGGAAATGCAAGGAAGCAGTATCACCATAGGATAAACAGAGAGGTGGAGTTGGAGTCACAGTGAACAGCCATCTGTCACCTAGTGGCAGTTAGTTATCTTTCTTCATCCTTTGATTCCTTACTTATAAATTTATATATCATAGTAGTAATATCTAATAAGCACAGGAGAGAAAAAAAGTAAAAAATATTGGGTTTGTGAGTTTGTTTTGTGCCATCAATTAAGCAAAGTGCCTTAATACACAACACCAGTCAATCCTCACAGTCCCATGAAATAGACAGTATTAAACCCATTTTACATCTAAGAAAACAGATTTAAAGAGAGGCTGAATAATTTAGCCAAGTTTTTCCAGGTAGTTAGTTGAGTGGAAGATAGTGTGTGGAGATTGTGAAGCAAGTCAGTATTCAGAACTAAGTTACCTGACTCTAAACAGTAGGCAGGAAGACGTTATGGCTATTCATTAACACTGATGTTCAAGTTAGACAGTCAGAGTGAGTTCATAGAGAAGGGAATGGCTTTGGTGAAGTACAGAGCGACCCAAAATTTTTCAGGTGAGGAGTTGCCAAAGAAAACTCTTTAGCTTGAATAGATTGGATACATGGCACTTACATTCACTGAAAAAACAAAAAAAAAAAACTGGGAGCAGTAATGAAGGACACAGCAATTTAGTAATCCTTGATGACTCAAGATGACTTATTTATATCAGTTGGATCAGTGGAGTCCTTTGCCTATTAGCTCCATTAAATCTGGCCTCTGGACTTCTGGAACTTTGATTAAGACTATAAAATAAAGAATTCTTTTTTTTGTCTTCAATTTTCTTACAACCAAAAAGACTTAGCCCCTGATATTTATTTAAAACTTTATTTAAAATCTCTCAGCATTAGTTTTTAAAGCAGTCCTTTCCCTCTATCCCTCCAAAATAGAAGCTGTTCCTGAAGGTAGTTCTCTCCTAGAAAAGGAGGACACATAATTTAAATTCTGGGGATTACCAGGATGCAGGAAAAGATAAGGCTTTTGAAATGAGGTGATTACAATAATTAAAATAAAAAGGTAACTTAAAGTTTCTGAGGCTTGAAGCTGGAAATTTTTGTACAAAGCTGAAATTTCAATACTCAAATCTCTCTTCTGAGTTCCATATCTAAATGTCTATTGAGAACTTCTGTGTGAATGGTCTCCAGGTAACTTGAATGTCTCAGAGGCACCTTAAACTTATCATGTTCAAAAGTGAAATTATTACAGGTTTTATTAGAACTCTCTTTTTCTTTCTAAAAGCCAAGTCTCAGTGAAAGGTATAAACTGCTAATCAGTTTATACCAAATTGGTCTTTGCCTCCTCCATTTCCTTTAATTCCTTCATTCTTCAATTCCAATCAGCCATCAAGTCCTGGCTTCCATTTTCCTGATGCAAGCTCAGCTTCCCGAGATTATCCAAAGTAGGATGAATCCTTGCTTTCAATGCCCACTTTAGAGTGCCTGTCATATGAAGTAATTATGAGCACAGCATGAAGTCTACATGAGGTATGTACAGTGGATCTCTACGTACATTGTTCCTACTTTACTCATGAGAAGAGGTGTCACTGTTTGAAGATAAATAGGTTGACTGTAAATTCACCATTTTTAAAAGATAAATAGGTTGACTATAAATCCACATATTTCTTTGTTCTTCCTAGAATCTTCTACATGGGATGAAATTGAGGTGATCATTAAAGGTAATTAGGAAATAATTGAACGAAGGCTCTTAGACTTTCCATAATACTTCTAGGTTATCCAGGGTTCCTGCAATATAAAGTGATATATATGTAAAAGTGATATATTTAAATATTGTACTTGACTTTACATGTTTAATTTATTATTATTCCTAAAAGTAATACTTACCGTAGACTCAGTAGAGAGGCCAGAATTATATATTTAAAGTCTTGAGTTGTTCTAACTCCAAGGGGAGTAAATGGTCTTTTTGAATTTTATAGGAACAGCAGAGAGTCTTCCATATAATATAAGAGGGAAAATCAAGCTCATCCAAGCATACTTTATGTGTATGTTCTTTGGTTTAAAAGGAGTAAAGTATTGCTCTAATCAAATACATTGAATGAAGAGAGAGAGACAGAGAGAGAGAGAGAGAGAAGGAGGGGGAGGGGTTGGGAGAGGAAGGGAGAGGAGGGTAGAAGATGGGAGGGGAGGGGAGGGAAGGGAAGGGAAAGAGAGGGGAAGAGAGGGGAGTGGTGGGAAGAGGAGGGGAGGTGAAGGAAGTGGAGGGAAGGTGAGGAAAGGGAAGGGAGGGAAGGGAAGGGAAGGAGAGAGAAGGAGAGGGGAGGGGAGAGGAAAGGAAAGGGGAGGGTAAGGGGAGAAGATAGGGGGAGGGGAGGGGAGGGGAGGAGTGGGGAGTGGGGAGGAGAGGAGGGGAGAAGAGAGGGAGTCTCTGTGCTTTGAGTTTTGAGAAATAAGTAGCCTGTCACAAATAACTGAAATTCCTGAGACTGAAATACTTGAGTATGGAGGGGTTCTCATTCTGAGATTTTTGAGAATTGCTCTTTAAATCAATGAATTCTCCCTGGAATGACAGTTTCCACGGTGATTGCTGTGTGGATCTCTGAAGAAACTCTGTGTTGAGAACTGCAATTCAGAGACCTTTGAAAAAGTCTCATGGCTTGATCTAGAACTCACTGGGAAAATGCAGAGCCAGCTATGTTACTGCTCCTGAGGCCTGGGTAAAAGCCAATGGCCCCAAGACCAACATGAAGGAGCACAGAGAAGACAGAGTTTCATTCTTATCAACTGTGTATGCTTTTGTGTTCTTGTCTGATCAATAATGGAAAGTGAGACTTGAAAATGAATGGATGTTGGCTTGGTCAACTAGGATGATTAACAGCTAAAATCTGGTTTGCTTTTACTGAAAAGAAACTTGAGGTATTTGGTATTCTTAATGTTGGGGAGCAATGCATACTTATACATAAGTAAATTCATAGTGATCAATAGTTCAGCTGAAATAAAATGTCTAGAAAAATAAATGGCTCATTTTAAATATTGATGAGGTATTTAAAAATATGAGCTCCTGAGATTTGGGTAGCACTAATTTGTTTTATAGCCCCAGGTACAATGAATTTAAGCTTTTTGTTGTCAGAAAACAATTAGCCCTGGATATTGTCTAGGCGTCATATTGAATTGTTTAGAATTTTACTTCATTTGTGTACCTCTGTAAGTCAGTGCCCTCAATGCAGATGAATTGGTTTTCTTTATGCTCATGGCTGGAAATTCCAAGTGCAATTTCTTAAGATACCTCTTTCCAATAGGAATTAATAGAATAGAAAAATAATGACCAGTTTTTCTTCATCCTAGAAATGATGCTGTCTTTTCAGTTAAGTTACACAAATACATATCATGAGCCTACTATGTACATTCAATATCCTGGCAATGGAGTCTATTGTAAAGATCATGGAATAAAATTTATATGGTCTGGTTTTATGATCCGTGTCCAGTTATTTGCCAGATCAGTATCTACCAAAAAGTCATTTTACTCCACTTCCTACATTTACATTGTTATAGCAGTAATGCCTATCTCACAGTAATATGACAAACAAGATAATATTTGAAAAATCTTTGTATCAAGGACTCTTTGTTCTTATCATGTGCAAGACTTTCTGCTCTGTTTTCAGAGTGTAATTTTGCTTATTTGTTGAATCTATAAAATGAGACAAAATTACCATTCTTCCCAGTCCCTATAATTCTGTAATTTTTCAAAAAGAGAGGCTTTCAAAATTCACAGAATAGGTATTTTGGAGAACAATTTATTCAGGCAATATAATACTTTCGTAAGACTATAATTAAGTCAAGCCTATTGCATATGGGATCTATACTGATAATTTAGAGAAAATAAACAATGGTTGTAAAGGAGATATAAACAAGTAAATAATTTGTTTAAAATCATAAAACAAATCACAAGAAAAGACGTAATAGAATTGGTTATATTGTAACTTCCATAAATAAGGAATCTGATCTTGTTTATTTATATTTTCTCAAGAATGAGCATTTGATAAATCTTATTAAATTAAAAGAACCCTCAATTTTTAGCTTTTTTTTTAAACCAGTGGTTCTCAAACATAACCTTTAGTGTGATTCAGCATCACCTGTAGGTATTGTTGAAGTGCAGGTTGCTGGGCCCCACTTCCAGAATTTCTGATTCAGTAGATCCGGAGTGGTCTAAAAATTTGCATTTATAATACGCTCTCAGGTGATGCTGACACCGCTGTTCTGAAAACTACACTTTGAGAACCAATCTTTCTTCTCACATTTTGAGAACCAAATACCACTTTAATTTGTGGTTTAAACTGCAATATGTAGGCATAACTTAGAAAACTTTTGAAAGACACAGATTCCAGAAATCACTCTCAGAGATTCTGCTTCTGTAGGTATTGGCTGGGGCCAAGGTATCTTTGTGTTTTGAAAGCTCCCAGGACTTACTAAGAAGACAGGTTTGGAAATTACTTTTCTATGTAAAGCTGAAGGTCTTTTGTGTTTATACATACTACACCACATATGCTTTTCCTAGTATTGAAATTCAGAATAAACCTAACAATATAAGATAATAAAACATCTCCCTGATGTAAAGAAAGCAAGCAATAAATAGAGCTACTTCTTACCTAGGAAAATATTGGCTTACTTGATTTCAATTAAATTTGAGATAACTTGACATTTTTATTTAATGTATATGCTCTTCCAAAGGATGATGACATTGTTTTGAGTTTCATACGTCCTTCAAAGCAAGTGGAGGCTGATATACTAAGATTTCACATATACATTGCAACATACATGGTACCTTATAATAATTTATGAAATTCTGTTATTTATTTCTTTTTAAACTTATTAAGTAAGTCACAGAAAGTTCATTCTAAATTTATCACAGTTATCTGAAAAATAGTCATCTAAGGCCTGAGAAATGAGGCAGGTGAATACTCAACATGAGAACATTTTGATGATAGATTGTATTCAGTCACTTGCTAAAGAGTACCATAGTTAATCATGTATCTTGGCCCTCTAAACATTTGCTTTTTATTTCTCCAGATCAAATGTTCCATCTGTATGCAAAGATGATTTTGTTTCATAACCAATAGTTTTGCAAACTCCACATGGCAACCTCCAGCATCAAATTTTATCTTCTATAGTTTATCTATGGACAATACAATTCTAAATCACGATTTAGTTGTAAGCTAAGCAAATATTGAAAAAAGTATCTAAGCTGGCTTTTACATAACTATTTTAGTTATGTAATACAGAAATGGGTGAATGTTTATTTTGGTCAATACAGTAAGCAGGTGTGGTTTCAAGATAGACCAGGATGAGTTAAATTAAGTAAAAATGGTATTTTTACATAATTGCTTTTCTGACAACTGTGAAAATTTATATTGCGTATTATGAGATTAAAGGTTTTGCACAAATTGAAGATTTAGAATTTTATTTTCTAAATAAAGTGTACACACTTTTTAGTTTTATTTTTTATTTCATCACTCTAGAAGAATGAGGCTTGAAATATTGCTTATAATTTCTTTAGTTTTTCTTTTACAATCTAGCTTAAATGCTTTTTACAGCACGCCTCAAGATTCTACTCCTTGTATTACCAAGAATCTAAATTTGCCATATATTTAACATGAATGTATGTAAATCATATAAAAATATTGGGAACTCTGGTTTAGGAAGCTTTAGAAGACCCCACCTGGCAAATAGTATGTTTTTAATAAAATATTATATTTTTATTTTGATATAACAATAATTATGCTAAATTCAGATTAAACTTCTCTTCCAAAGGATCACATACATCACATATTTATGGGCCAAAGGCACAGTGTTAAGTGTTAAGACTATCCGAAGATGTAAAGGTACAATTCTCACTGCCAAAGAACTTTTCTTCTGCAAGGTAAGTAGGATTCACAAGGACAATCAGTTGGAGAAATACCATGGGGCAAATAGACCAGGATTCAGTGCAGGCTTCATGGGGACATAATTCCCAAATTAAAGGATATAAGAAACTTCAGTGTAGCCAAGATAAATAAGAGAATTATGCACCCAGAGAAGAGACCATAAGAGAACACAGTGCATTTATATAACAGCAGATTGTTCTTTATGAAGAGAAATGGTGGGTGGTAAGTTGAACGTGGACAGAGAGAGACTAGAATGTGAAGGGCCTCACCTGTTTTGTGTGTTAAAATAGGAGCAATTATATTTATTGCAGTTAAAACCTGGATTATTTCTCTGTGTACATAGTGCAAGGCGATTTGCCAAGCTTTTGCTGGCTGTTCCCGACTTCACCGTTTTCTTTATAGATGCAGAGAGAATCTAGGCAAGTGTAAATGTTGCCAAGTCACGTGAGAGAAGGCAACCACTAGGTGACAGAGCTGTACCATGTTCTGTGGTCGGGACCAAAAAGCTTATCTCTTGACACCATCATCCTCTTACTCAGAGTAAGTTGGCTGCAGAATGGTGGTAGAAATCTAGGATTGTCTAGAAGCTTTGTTGAAGAATAACCAGCAAATTCAAGGGAGCACTTATGACTGCACACAACCGGGCCTCCAGCTCTCCCATCTTTCAGTCATTGCAGTGGACGTTGCATGGAAATACATATTAAATTATCTCTTTGATTGAAAACATAATCAAGGCTCATACATCAACAGACATGCACCATATTTTAATGTAATCACCTCATAACTAAGTGGAGTGCAAGAATAAAACAAAATGTCAATCTATATATTTTTTTTTTTTTGTAAAATTGTCCTGCTATCAACATAGAATAAATCCATTACCAGATGGTTCACCAGTACAGCAGAAAACATGGGGTCTAATGGTGTTCTGTTAGCAAACTCTTGTAATTGATTTATTTTCTAAGCTACCAACTGTCTTGTTACTGTGTGTTTTTAGTTATTCTTTCAGTAGATACATTTTAACTGCTTTTTGTTGTTGTTTCTGTTTTAAAAAGTCTGCAGTCAATGTTTCAGAATTCTACAGCATTTTAAGATCTGCGATTTAGAATGGAAAAGTTGCGAACAGGTTGATAATAATAGATATTTCAAAGTTTCACTTCAATATAATGTAAATGTATGTTTAAATTAGGCAACCTCTATGTTTAGTCACAAAAGTTCTGCATATTTTGATAATCTTTTAGATAGTAGTGCATTGATTAAATTAATTCATTATGTCTGTTAATCAAATTATTAATTTGATTAATTGAGCCTAAATAAGTTCCCTCAGTGATACAGTCATTATCTTAGCCTGATTTTATGTTAACTGCTCAATGTGGAGGTAATTAATACCCTGAAGAGATGATTAATATCCTGTTGCCCCAGGAAATATTTTAAAATGTTTTAGATCTAAAATACAGAAAATGTAGGACTCTTTTACAGGCATTTCCAGTACAGGAAGAGGATTAAGAGAATGACATTTTATTTTGCACGTCTGTATTGGCATAAAGGTTAGAGACTTTCAAGTAGTTCTAAGTAAGAAATAAACTTATGTGTCAATATTTTAAATTTAGATTTTAGTTTTTGGCCATAAAATCTGCAAAAACTGTATTTCAATTAGACTTTTATATATGGAAAGACTCAGACTCTCTCCAAAATGAGTTAATCTGTAGAAACTATTCAAAGTACACACACACACACACACACACACAACCCATTATAAGTATAATAACCCCAATGTCTTTATGACCAACAAGCAAATAACAATGTGAACTTTCAAATTACACATTACTAAAAGAACTAGAATTAATCATTAAAATCTAAAATTGTTTATGTTATAAACTTATTATTTATTCTTTTCTGTTGCCTACTATAATAAGTCCTTGTTTTTCGGGGACTTGTTATCTTTAACTAAAAATGCATAACTATGCAGGGCTAGAATTTCTCTGTTTAAAAAAAGAGCTGCTCAATGGAATTGCAGCACTCTGGGCCAGCATATTCTCTATGAGCATATTCCTCTCCTCTCTGCTTCTCTCCTTTTTTCTTTCTTTCTTTTTTTCTTTATGGATTTCTACAATCAAGACAAGAAAAATTAAAGAACTGAAATGAGAAAAATATGTTCCTCAAACTACTCCCACCGCTCATTATTTAAATAAAAAATAGACATACTTAAAGCATTATAAACTATTCACAAGCAAACTAGTTATATAAGACCTATTTTAATTGAGGCTATAGGAAAAAAAAACTTTTTTGCTAAAAAACACATGGACACAGCGAAGGGGGTACTACACACTGGGGTCTAATGGGGAGAATAGGGGAGGGACAGCCGGGGGGGGGGTAGCTGGGGAGGGATAGCCTGGGGAGAAATGCCAAATGTGGGTAAAGGGGAGGAAGGCAGCAAAACACACTGCCATGTGTGTACCTATGCAACTATCTTGCACGTTCTGCACATGTACCCCAAAACCTAAAATGCAAAAAAAAAAAAAAAAAAAAATACAGCTTTCTGAAGTCAGTTTTTATAGGCTGGGATTTCAGGCTTCTGAATAAAAACTAAACTATATAATACATGTCCAGCTTAATATAAAATCTCCTTTTATATTTTGTTTATCACATATAGACTAAATTAACCTTTGACTATCTTAAGGAAGATAGAAACTTATTTGTACACACATCTGACACTAAAATGAAATGAAATGCAATGTCAAGACCCTTGTATTGGCTCTTCTTCTAATTTCCCCATATCACTTTAGGAAAAAAGGAAGCTATGTACTACATGTTTGTGTAAAATAAAATCCCACTTAACCATGCATACTCTTCAGTTGCTCTGATAC